TGCGTAGATAAGCTAATGTCCATGTGGGTGTGGAAATAGTATATTATATTACGTGTTTGGAAAGCGACATTTTTCAAACGAGTGGGAAATAATGTCGCACGAGGCATAAGCTGAGTGTGAAAAATCACTTTCACACAAGTAATGTACAATAATTTTTCCTACGACCACAAAATAATTTTATCAAAAAAATGTAAAACTAGGAAATCTGGCTATAAAGGTTCCATCAAGATGTAGCTGGTTTTAGATTTGTTTTTATATGCCTTATTGAATAATTTTTAAAGCGTTTCACAGATTTTTTGTCAAAATTAAAATATTGTGATTCCATTTTAAAACAAATTACATTTTTTTGGCTAAGGCACTATCAGGAATGTTCGCGAATCGGCCAGAATTTCCATTCTAATAGTACAGAGCTCATTTATACACATAAGAGACATCTCTGTGAGCAGATAAACATAGTTAAATATCAATTTAAATTAATATAGTATTTAAGTATAAATAAATTAATTAGTGTATTTAGTGTAAATTGTTTAAAATAACCTTACATTATTAATAACAAAATTCAGTAACCTCGATTGATCGAAATCAGCTTCATGTGACATAGGAATTATATTTTTAATTATTAATCCGCTGTGAGATGCTGTTGCCACGGTACCTATGGTTGTTCACGAGTTAATTGCAAAATGCAATCCATTCATTTATTTAAAAAATGTTTCTTAAGAACCAAGTAATTGGCTATACCCTTTCTCGTTGTCACCTAGGCTTTTTAATCACATGAATTAACTAATTGGATCGTTGAAATATTTATTGCATTGCATAAGCTGTGATTACTAACATATAATTAATTAAACGATACTAAATATTGAATTGGCGACCTTTAGTAAATCGTTAAAAAAATACCTTTTCCTGTTAGCATTTTATTTATTTATTTACAACACTTCTCTCAAAATGGCCTTCGCAATTTTGATGTCGTAGCAATTCGCGCGATCGGCTTGTGGCTGAGGTAGTCGCACAGCTTATTCACTAGTAGTGAATAAGCTGTGGTAGTGATCTGTAGAACAACTAGTTGAAACCTAGAATTAAAAAGTAGTTAATTTATCTCACTTTGACCTTACCTTTCTACTTTTCTATAACCAGTAAGAAAAGTATTTGAATCATAATTTTTTCGACCTGGAGTTTTCGACAGGTCTATACACTTTGGGGTCCTCTTGATCCGTTTTGACCATTTTCGTGATGATATCTGCCTGTGCCTGTATCCGCAATTAATCAAAAACGGATAAAAGAAAAATCCATGATTTAAACTTAAGATATAATCCATCTTGCGATTTTGGGCACAGTCAGAACATCTGGGAAGAGGTACCAATGCTGGTGTATTGAAATTTTTTTGAATTTTACAAATTTTATTCTTGATTATGGATTTCCAAGTTAGGTATGCAGATTTTATAAAACCAACTTGTTTTTTAGTAAGATATTCTGCTACATACTCGAGAGCATCATCTGTGGTTTCTCGCAACTTTTTTTTTTGGTTTGTGCTTGAACTGGCTATATTTCCAGGTATATCAAGCCAACTGAAGAAAATGAACTGCTTAAATCTGATATAAATATGGATAAATTTTTTTCTAAAATTTTAGGTGTTATTATTATTATTCTTTAACTAATTCTGTAGTATTTACTTTTGCTTCTAAAATTCCTGAGTTTTTGCTTAAAGTTATCATCCATTACAAAGGAAATCTACAATATAACATTTTTTAAATGTATTTTTAGTGTAATTAAGAATATTATTACCCTGAAATTAGTTTAGTAAATCTAATTTATAAGCATTTGCTATAAAATGTAGACAGTCATTGGGCATTGGGTTAAATCTTAGATTAAAGAGACCAGAGATGTAACTTGTAAAATACACCTGTATATAACCTGCGCGAATGTTGCCAATTTCTAAAGAATGATTAACGGAGTGAGAACTGGGAGGAGACCCGAACTCTGTGATAGGGACGGACTTTGTTTATTACCTTCATAATGAACTTTTAGAATTACTTAAAAGATGTTGAATGGAATGTTGTATTATGAAATAAAATCAGGTGGATTTATCATATCGAACAGATGCAACATTTTGTGTAAAAAAAAGACAAAAGTTCTTTTATAGAATATTTCGTTAGCGTTTATTTACTACGGACTTTTCTGCAAGAGACTACAATAAAATGTTATTGTCTACGAGTACTATATTACCAGCATGTGCGCAGGCGAATACGTCAAATCAATCATAACATTTTTTCTACGACTATTACATAATATTAAAAATTAGTCAAAATGAGAAAATGCTGTTTTGTATTGTAACCACAGAAAAGGGTACATTAAAGTTTCTTTCTTTAAGAATATTAATTAATATAGAGGATTTATCACATAAAACTCTAGAAATCCATATTTCCGTAACCAGAATAACATTTTAAAATTTAAACCTATAAAGGTCATTTGATAGCTAGGGGTGGGCGATTATCGAAATAAATGATCGATTATTGAAATCAATCAATTTTCGTATTTCCTTTAAAATCGATTATTCGATTATCTCTGAAAAATCGGAAATAATCGATTAATTAAAATACCGATTATAACCGATAAATCGGTGTTTCCAAAAAATAATAAAATAATTATTTTCAAATAATATTTTCGTATTTCCTTTGAAATTGATTGTTCGATGAAAATCGAAAATAAGCTGATTATTTTAAACATTAGATTATTTTTAAAAAATCTTTTTTTTTCGTATTTCCTTTAAAATTGATTACTTAGTCGGTTATCGTTGAATTATCAAAAATAATCGAATAATCAAAAATAATCGATTAATTAAAAAACAGATTAAACAATAAATCGATTTTTCAAAATAAATAACCAAATATTCGATTATTTTTAATTATTTTTAATTTATTTTCTTTTTGTATTTCCTTTAAAATCGATTATTACATCTTAATAATAATAATTTATTGAATATATTCCATTAATCGAAAATAATCGATTAAGTTAAAAGCCGATTCATCAGATTATTTTCCTAAAAAAATAATCTGTTTTTTTTTCGTATTTCCTTTAAAATTGTTTATTCGAAAGAATTGTCACTTATTTCAAATTTTAAAAATAATAGTAGTTGGATTTCATTTTTTTTGCAGTGTTCTCACTACCTAGAATGGATATGAAATATATTCGTTCAGTTAAACGCAATAGCATACTTTTCGTTTTGTAGTCTGTGCGTAGATAAGTTAATATCCATGTGGATGTAGAAAAAATATTTCCAAGCCACATGTGATTGATTACAATAAAAGATTTTCTTATCACCTTCGTATAAATAATAAAAATAATAGTTGAAAGGCTTGATTTTAAAAAGATAATGTATCTGTGTACATTTCAAATGACCTGCGTCTACAGGTAAGAAATCAGGTAACTTGGCTATCCTCTAGTATAGTATATCCTAATCATTGTTGCAAACTTTCATTATTATTCACAGATTTACCTTTAGCTACACTTGCCATCATGATAAAAATCCAGTAAACCTTTGAAACATACCTTATATAAACATACTTTTTAACTACTGTCGTACAATCGTTCACCGTATAAGCTTCTAGGAACCTTTGCAATATAGGTACCTTATTATACTGTTTAGCTTCTTTTGTGCAATTATTCAGTGATTTAGATTCTAATGAACCTTTGAGATATTCTTTATATACCCTTTATACCTACTTTTGTCCAATCATTCAGTCTTTTGTAGGTAGCTCATAGTATCACACATGTGTAATTGAGTTAATTTGTGATGTACCTATCTTATTAATACCCACCTCTACTTTTGTGATATTGATACTTGAAATCAAGAAGATTTGGATAACAAATTTATATAATTTTAGGTTTTGTTTTATTTGAAATTTCCACGGCTCATTGAGGTTTTACTATAACCTTAATTTTAGTCTCTCAGTATTACATTATTTAAACAACAATATAGTGTGTAGTCCACGGACGGACTTAACTATACTTGTAAAAATATTTATTTTAAATTAAAAAAAAAAATATATGAAGAATTACTTTTTTTAATTTAAAATAAATATTTATACAAGTATAGTTAAGTCCATTTGTGGATACACTGTACAATGCTGTAGAACTAATTCACATTATAACATCTATAAAACGTTTCAGAACAACTTTCGGGGGAAAATACTGTAAAACTGCTAGTGTGATGTTCTCCGAACTTCAGTTTGTAATCTCTATGAGATGTTCTATAAAAGTCTTGCAGTTGCGGATATTCGGTGCAAGGCTGTTAGGGTTACATAAAAGTACATTGCATGCGAGCTTAAAGAGCCCGAAATTGCAGCTTATTAACGTAGATGGGATGTTTATGTGCTAGCTGGAGATATGTTACTTTATGTTATTTTATAGACGCTGATTAATGATTGTAGAAAAAATATTCAGATAACGTTTTTTTAATAAAGTATTAAAGTAATAGATTGAATATTTTCGAGTCGGTTTTTCTCTTAAAAACCTGTGTTTTCGGTAAAAGCAGAAAATTAAAATCGTGACAAGTTAAATATTTAAGAAGGAACCACTTTAATTGGTGCCAAGGATTTTACAGTACCCCTTTTTATAATTGGACATGACAGTAACAATCAGTTATGGGTATATTTATCATTATTTATTGGAATAATTTAGATAGAAGGTACGAAGTGGAATGATAACAAAATCAACAGTGAAGACTGATCCAAACTACCCAAAAATAAAAGGTCAGCAATGCAATGCAAAATTTTTTCAAAAAAATTACAGCCGCCAAGATGTTAACAAAAATACAAAATTTGTAGATAATTTAAATTTAATTTTTATTTTATACTTACATACTTTATTATCAACGATTGTGTAGAGAATTTGTTATTTATTTGATTTATTTTCATCACATTGTACATTTTTCAAATTAGTTATGATTGTTGTTTTGACGGGATTTTGAATTTTTGTAATGAAGCGCTAAAAATGTAACTTACCTAAATCAAAAGCAATCGAAATTTTTTCTTGGCCCACAACACCTGTTACAAATGAAATAATTACAATCACCGACAAATTGGTACACGAGAACCGCCTCGACAATTTCATAATCGTGGAGATTTTGATCGTTCGTACTGCTCCAGATATCCACTACACATTCTTTATTATCGATAACGGTGTTCTATGTAAGAACTGCAAGAGCGCATTGGTAAATGTTAAATGTAAATAATACAAGAACCGGCATCAAAATAGTTGGTGCTAGCTTGGGACTTTTGCTTTCACATACAATTTCAATGTCTATAGTACAAGACTGCTAAGAAGTTGAGGCTGATGGTAGCTAGGGGAGAGAGGAATATATTTTACCTTTTTTTTAATGTAGTACCTATTATAAACAAACCTAATCTTACAAAATAAAAACAGTGGAATCAATAAACTGTTTGAGTAATGCTGTAGATTCTAAATCTACATTAATAACCTCGTTTTATTCAGGTGGAAAGTAAACAAAAAATGTATTGGTAATCCGTTAATTGGCTTGCTACCAATCGCCAGTACAACTGACCGAACGAGCCGTTTTTCTTTTTCATTTTACAATTTTTTTCCCTCCTTTCAAGATATCCGAAAATGAGGGACTAATGTTTATAATTAGTTAATCCTGCTTTTTATAAAATAAATTTTAGTTTTATTTCTAATAAAATTGGTAAAATTTGTATTGCCGAGTTTATTATTGTTCTGTGATTATTGTTCCTAAAATTATATTTAGTGTTTCTTGACTACATATTTTGTATATATCTATGTTCGTTTTTGGTAATAAGGTTCGTATTTAACCGCTTTTTATTATAATGTGTACCTATAGCACAATATTAATCTTATTTTAAGCCTGATGATGGCCCTGCTCCGAAACCGGTAGCTTCCTTTTACTTTTGAATAAATAAAACCTTTATTCTACGATCACTATCCAAAGTAGGCTTTTGCCTTTCGAAATCAACCACAAAGTTAACGTTTTTCGCGAACTAGCATTAACTGACAGCTCGCCGCGTGACAAAATTGACAGCTTTGTTGCTCACCTCCTTTCTCATGCCAAACGCATGTAACTAGAACATGTTGCAGTAAAAGTAAATAAAAATTAATTTCTACCATATTTTGACAATATCTTTGCAAAATTATTAAAAAATATCCACTAGAAAGATTCAGGAGGTAGGCAATACATATATGGTGTACTTTAGTCTAATTATTTAGTTATACTACCGTTAACGTATAACACACTTAACCGCACCCACTAAACATGAAACATTACCAGAATGCATCGACGATGTTCCTTAATACTTTATTCTGGAAACGTTGAATAACTTGGATGTTATTTTTACTGGCGGGCAAATTGCTTCATTTCCACCAATTCCTTTAACTGCACTAATCTGAAACAGAATGTAGGAAATTGAAAAGGATTTATACAAATTATTTGATTAACAATAGTTTTATTAATATTGTTTTAAATTAACTATAATAAAACAATACTCATGCATGTCTAAACAAAACATGAAGATCCACCTAAACAAGCATTATTTATGTAGTTCTCGCCTTAATTTCTATAGACATATTCTGCTTCCCATATAACAAGTTCACAACGGATGAATATCAAAAACCAACAACTCAAATCTATAATTATTTAGAATATAGGCTTGCTTCTAGCCGTTTAGTAACCTTTTGTGTATCATGTATACCATGTTTCAGAAACATTTTCAGTGAAATATTTCAGAAACTTGTGCTTAAAATATTGTTTGACACGTTTGAAATATTTCTGAAATAATGTGTGCTGTATGGACAGATTTTATATCTATATCTTAAATAATGTGATCATAGAAAAACTCATGTGTGTATTTTGAGCGAAAAGTATCACTTTTCTCTCTTAATACAGCTATTTTGGTACTGATTTAGAGTATTTTTTTTTTTTTTTCGTAGAATAAATTTATCTTTATAGACAAATTATTTTTGTTGCTGCTGTTACTGCAGTCTTATCATACATTAAAGTAAAGCAAATATAACATTGCCCAACTTTCTCCTAAATTTTAACTGTTACGTAACCGCAAACACATAGGTAGGTATATGACGCAACAGCCGATTATCTGTTGAAAAATACTGATCGCTCCTCGTTGATGGTTTTGATGGCTTCTTGCGAAATTCTTATCCGATGAACTAGGTAAGGTACTGCTAATTTGAAGACTGTAAACAAAAACAATGGGTTGCAATTTAATATGCTTAATTAAAATTGTTAACGGATGTGACGATAAGCGAACTGAAGAGTTGTTTTTCCGAATATTCGTTAAATATGTTCTAGCGGGCCAGTGACCTTCTAGGGTAGCCAACAACCGGAGTCTCCGGGTTTGGCGATCATTTTCCGGGCTCCAGGTTCATATTAAAATGAATCTGAAATAAATACAACTCTAACTTTTTTGAGGGTGACATTAGGCTCTCCAAGCCAGGTCAGCAGGTGGATGATTTAAAAAGTGAACAACACAAGAAGGTATTTTGTGTTGTGTATTATTCCTCAAGGAAATTTCTTTTTCTCCTAGTCAGTGTCGCTGATCGCTGCAATGTTGGCAACGCTACTATCTTCGGTATTTTGGAAATAAAAATAGCAGATTTTTTTAAGGGGAGAATAAAAACCCTAAATTATTGGAACATATGCTATTTATTTATTCTTCTTTGTCCACAATCCTTATGCCTCGATAGGGTCAGTTATGCTTCTGAGAGACTCCTTGAACGATAATCGATGTTCTGATATATTTGCGTATTTATTAGCTATACTGCACTGAATCCACGCTCGGCCAGATAAAATGAAGGAAATGCGATTAAAAATTCCCGCAATCCAGGGTAGAGAATTCATATATATATATTGATTTTTGGAGCCAACATTCTTGGTATTCATGTTTGAATTTTACTTTGTTCTTAGTTAGTTGCGAGTTCTACGAGTTCCTCTTCCAAATTTGATGAATCTTCAGTAACTGCATTTGCGAAAGGATCTAAAACCCAACTCGGTACGTTCGTGTTTAAAATATCTTAGAAACGCTCCTTAAAATCAACATGAAAAACATCCAAGCGTTTGAAATAAGTATTGGCGGCGGAATAACTTTTCTTGGGAGGGGGCTTGAGTCCCTCTTAAAAATGCACTCTTCCGTAAAATAAAAACAATATAAAGGGTGTTTATCTATGCATAATATTTTTAAATTAAAACATAAATAATTATGCATATGTGAAAAAACTTAAATGCGTATATAGGTATACGTAAATATATAATATGTAAGTATGTACCAGGTTGATATAAAAAAAACATTCAAAAGACCTTTTTTCTATTTTTCTTTGCAAAAATTTCCAAGACACCTTGATGGTGTCAATCTGTTTATCCAGCTCATTTTCGATGTGAAGTATGGAAAGCTGCGAAAATCTATCTTTAGTAGTCAAATTTTAATTCTTCTCATAGCCTAAAAACTGGTCCCCCATCCGGCGGAGCTAACAGGAATAGCTATTGCAACCCGTAACAGTTTGTATAAATTGGGTTGGGCATTCGGTGTCACATTTTTTTTCAAAATATAAAACTTGATGTGATTATTTTTAATAATTTTACTTGTAATTTTAAATTCTGCCTCTATATCAATTTTAAAGAGTTGTGCAAAATGATGAATGAAAGCATTACCACCTTCAAAGGACAGATTTAAAAACTATCAATACTTTTTGCAAAGTCTAAGTCACCAACTCTTTCCACAAATTGATTTTTTTACAGCATCTCTGGCCCTGGCTCATAAAAATACAATTACCCTCCAATGCTCTTCAACATTTGTCTTCAATATTATTTCTTTATGACCTGCCGAACTTTCTACTAAAAAATCTGATAAAGCTTGTGGAGTTTTTTTAACGTTCGTACTAGTTCAAGGCATAACTCATTATTTTCTGCAAATTTTACTACTTTAGACCAAAGATTTGAAAAATTGTTCTATTCATCTTTTAATAGCAAAATAGTAGATTATTATTTGACTAACCTTTCCCAATGTAGCATTAGGATATTGAAAAATTTTACTCAGGGGGCGAATGATGCTTGAAATGAAATACAAAAAGCAAAACTAAAAACTTGCTTTCAACAAATTTAAAAATATTTTTATCGCTTCAACTTCGTCGTGATCTTTGACATCAGATATTTCTTGCTCTAGGCATTGTTTAATAACATTAAACTTTTCAATTAGATTGTCACATTTTAGGAAACGACAGCTCCATCTAGTCGTACTCATGTTTTAAAGTTCCTTAGTTTCAAGACCAAATTTTTTGTGAATGAGCTCAAATGTCTTATGTGCACCTGGTTTTGAGTAGCGGGTGTATTGCCGCCACTCAACAGATTTACACGTGTGTACGACTATAAAGTTTATTTTGTGTGCCATGTAGTGCGTGCAAATTGCTAGAGGGTGAGACGTTTTTTATTTTGCTTGCAATCCTGTATTTTTTTTTTCAGCCATATCACTGGCATCATCATACGATTGAGTAACAATCGGGGCTTTAAATTTCAAGTCTTGTAGAAAACCCTTGATTAAGTTTTCTAGACCAGCAGCATCTCGACACGAAGAACAATCAATAAATCCCAAAAACTATTCTTCTATGTCCAAACCGTTGACGTATCGGACCACAACAGATAACTGTTTACTTTGTACCAACGAGCTTCATCAATCATTAATGAATAGAAATCCACACTGACGAATTTCATTTATTTTTCTTTTTAAAATTATATCTGATGATATACAAATTATTTCGTTTTGAATGTCGTGGCTAAGGTATTTCTTTTTTGTACAGTCAGTGAAAAAGTAACAGTTTGTGAAATATATATCAGGCTCGGTTCGGCAATGTAAAAGTGATAACAGAAATGAACTCTAATTTGTATTTAAAAAAATTAAAACCATATTTTTCTTTATGCTGATCGGTTTACTTTGCTAGAGTGGAGTGAACTTAAAATCTGATGCACTTATTCGATCTACCTTGGTACCATGGAGGGGGGGGGGCTAAGCCTCGCCATGGAGGGGACTAATCACCCCCCTGCCCCCCCCCCCCCCCCCCCCTTCCGTCGCCAATGGTAATAAGTAAGTAAATCTTTCTGTCATGCAGAGACTGTTGATAGTCTAGGACTAGATTTTATTTGAAGAAGAGTTTATCCGCAAAATCAGCTATGACGCTTTTTTATTCAACTCATTAATCGAATTAAATTACGGGTTTTGAGCTTACATTAAATTGTAATTAGAT